TCATCGGCGTCGGCCCGGCGTGGCGGCGCGGGGAGTCCCGAGTGTCCCTGTCACCCCGGGCGGGGACATGGGGACACCCCCCCCGGGACGTGGGGACACGGGGGATGCCAGGACATGAGGACACGGGGACATGGGGGCATGGGAACATGGGGGACACCTGGCCATGGGGACACAGGGGACACCTGGCCATGGGGACACAGGGACATAGAGATGCAGGGACATGGGGGACACCTGGCCATAGGGATGTGGGGACAGCTGGACATGGGGACATGGGCACATGGAGGTAGAGGGACCTGAGGGACATGGGGACGCGGGGATAGGCAGGTGCAGGGACATGGGGGACACCTAGACATGGGAACATCTGGCCATCAGGACACGGGGACATGGGGGACACCTGGACACAGGAATACAGGGGATACCCAGATATAGGGACACGGGGACGCAGAGATGCAGGGACATGAGGGACATCTGGCCATGCGGACACAGGGACAGAGAGATGTGGGGACACAAAGACATGGGGGACACCCAAAAATAGGGACATGGGAACATGGAGGTGAAGGGACACGGGGACACAAGGGCTGGGGGGACACCTGGCCACGGGGACACGGAAATGCAGGGACATGGGGACACAGGAGACACTTGGCCATGGGGACAGCTGGACTTTTGGGGGCCCCAAAGTGTCCCCTTGTGCCCCGTGTTCCCCCAGGTCCCCCCAGCTTGTGCTGCCGTCCACGTGCCACCCCTCTGTCCCCCCCGTGCCCTGTGTCCCCACGTGCCTGGAGCCAAGTCCGTGTCCCCAGTCATGTCCCCATGCCCCGTATATCACCCCTATGTCCCCATGCCACCCCGTGCCCCATTTGTCCCCTCATACCTTGATGTCCTCTCATGCTCCACATGCCCCATGTCCCCATGTCACACGTGTCCCCAGTGTCCCCCAACACCCTGATGCCCCCTCATGTCCAACATGTCACCTAGGTGTCCCCATGTGTCCCCCCATACCTGGATGTCCTCTCATGCCCCACGTGTCCCCATGTCCCAAGTGTCCCCAATTTCCAAGACATACCCATGCCCCAGATGGGGCATCCCCTCACCCTGCCCCATGTGTCCCCTTGTCCCACGTGTCCCCCTATACCCTGATGTGTCCCCATGCCCCATGTGTCCCCAGGTCCCAGGTGTCCACGTGTCCCCGTGTCTCCATGTCCCAAGTGTCCCCCATACCCTGATGTGCCTCCATGCCCCATGTGTCCCCATGTCCCAAGTGTCCCCATGTCTCAAGTGTCCCCCCATACCCTGATGTGTCCCCCTGTCCCATGTGTCCCCGTGTCCCAAGTGTCCCCATGTCCCCCATGTCCCCATGTCTCAAGTGTCCCCCCATACCCTGATGTATACCCATGTGTCCTCGTGTCCCCATGTCTCAAGTGTCCTCCCCATACCCTGATGTGTCCCCATGCCCCATGTGGCTCCATGTCCCAACTGTCCCCCCCATACGCTGATGTGTCCCCATGTCCCCTGTGACCCACATCCCACCTGTCCCCGTGTCCCAGGTGTCCCCATGTACCCCATGTCCTCGTGTCCCCTGTGTCTCCATGTCCCAAGGGTCCCCCCATACCCTGATGTGTCCCCATGTCCCAGGTGTCCCCGTGTCCCCCATGTCCTCGTGTCCCAGGTGTCCCCCCTCAATGTCCTCAGAGCCACTAGTGGGATCCCCCGGGGGGGGGAACCCCCCGGGGTGACGTCACGAGCCCCCCCCAGGCACCTATGGGCACCGCCCCCTCAGGCCCCGCCCCCGGGACGCGGGGGATCCCTGTCAGTAGCGCCCGCCCCCCGCTGCACGAGGCCCGCGCCCATTGGCTTTTCGCGGCGCGGCCCCCCACA